TCTAGGCAAGAACATCAGTTAGAAGTAACTTCTAGTGAATGTATTGCTCTTGAGTTTCCCAGTCTTTAGTGAGAGTTGAACTTGGTTGGTATGATGTCATTTGTCTGGCACCTTTGGTTTCTGCACACATTGCAAATAGTTTACCAGACTTAATCCTGATGATTTTTTTTAATACAACGAGCTGTCCTCCTGTGTGATCAGTTTGTCTGGAGAAGGGGAAGAGGTGTTTGCTGAAAGGGGAGGCTATGGGTTCTGTTGTTGGTGTGGTGCGCTCAGAGCTGCTGAACAGCTGAGATGTGCTGTCAGCCTGGCAGCCCTGGGGCTTGTGCAGAAATGCTGTTGTTTTGCTGGAGGAGCTGTGTCTCAGGAATGTCTTGCTGCCTCAGCTGACTTGTAGTTCACCTCGCTGTGACCTGCCTTCCTGAGGGCGAGCGGATGTCCGGGTAATCTAATAGCCTGTGCTTACTTGGGACATGTAAAGCTGATCTGAACGAGAGAAGGCTTCTCACCAAAGCCTCTGTCCTAGCTGTAACATGGCTGGTGCCTCTGTGCAAGCTCAGGTTCGTTTCTCTGTGGATAAAGAAAAGATTAGGAGGCACTGAACACTTGGAGTTGGTATTTCTATCTTCACTTATGCAAAATCACTCAGTGAAGAAATGAAAACCCTTGAAAACTGAAAGCTCACTAATGACTTGAGGATGAACACGTGAACATTCTGCTTGTGTCAAACTCCATTTTGTAAAAAAACATGACAGTTTAACAAGATTGTGTCCTTTAGGCCTAATGAAAATAACAAATTGTCACACAGTTTTGATAAGTTTTAAATTTTAGGGGAGTTTTGCTAATTTTTAGTAATTCTGGAGGATACACTCAAAACAGTGGGTAAGCTAGTGCTGGATTAAGTCTTCCAACCTTTTGATTTTGATAAAGAATGTGCTTTCTTGTGATGGCAGGCAAGCTTAAGGTACCTGTATGAAAGAGGTTTTTAATTTAAACCTATAGGAAGCTTGCACTGTAGCTTGCTTTTCTGTACTTTTGCTTTCTTTTTGTAGCATGAACTTCCTACACATTCTCTTTCAAGCCCTGAAAAGATAACTGTTGCTTTTCTTCTGCATATTTTTACAATGAGCAGCAAAACATTGTAAGTAAAGCCAGTGGGTGCCTCTGTATTTGATGATAATGCATCTACTGCATTCAAACAGTTAGTGGCTGTAGCTGTTCAAGTAAGAGGGAAATGAAATATTTTACTAAGGTGTATATTTCTATTTTTAAGGTTTTTTGCATGCTGGCTTTATGCAGGGGTGTAGATTACCCTTTACCTGTGCTCATAAGCCTCTTCATGCAGTCAGGACTCCTATATTCCAAGCAGTATCTTAGTCCAAAACAGTTACCTGGACACTGAGGCTTGAAGTAATACACCAGGTGTATCCAGGTTTGTTATAATCCTGCAGTGACAACTGGTGAACTGATATCTCCCTGGCACTACTTCAGGGATTGATGCTAGTTAGTGGTTATGTTGCTCACAGGCCAAGGTGTAGCTGCTGTTTATGAAAGTAAATGCACCCATGAATGAACTGTGTCTTATGGAAAGTGGATTGATAGGAGTTCTATATTTAAATATTAATTGCTGGGGAGATCCTGCAAAATAAATACTGCAGTGATCTATTAAAATTTTATTGATTGTGGTATGTAGTGTATTTGAAACTCTGAAGACTAGGCCAGGACCTTGAGCTGGGCACTGCTCAGAGATAGTGGAGGTTGTTTGCTCTCATGGAATGCATTTTCTCAGTGCTTTTTTGCAGTGTTTTTGTTTCTGTTTGGGTTTTTTTAGCCAGTTGAGCTGTGTTTGCAGAGAAACTTATGGTTAAGTAAATGACAGTAAACAAAATGTGGTGCAACTACATCTCTTCCATGCTAGTGGGTTGCACAGATTAGCCTAAGTGTCTGCCAGCATAGTTTTCTTGGCAGTGCCTTGTAGTCTCCTTACTCAAGAACAGTTGTCTAGAGCTGGCAGATAATTGTCATGACAGACACTAGTATCTCCTCAGTTTGCAGAAGAACTCTTCCAACTGTGTACATTCTGATACTGAGTTGTGTAAAAAATGGAGGGAAGATTAAAGGATGGGACATGAAAAAGACTGCTGCAAGGAGAATAGGAAAAATTGGATGAGAGAGAGAAATGCACTGGAGGGAGGCTCTGAAGCTGACAGCTGCTTGATACAGTCTATTTTAATTTCAAAAAAATCTTTGAAGAATGTTATTCAAACTCTCTGAGTAAACTGGGCCCTAATTTGAAACCATACAGTGCTTGCAGGGATTGTTTTAAGAGTCAGGAAGCAGAGGGTGATAACTGCCCATTGCAATGAGGAGAGAGGCACATGCTGGAGTCCCACAGGGTGCTGTGTAGCAAGATGAATGCCTTTAGCATAGTCAGAAATGATCTTGGAAAGAGGATGAGCAGTGAGAGGATGGAGGAAAGTTTGTGATGACAAGTAGTTGTTCAGAGGTTGAAAATAAGGGCCCAGTGAGGAATTCAGTAACGGGAGACTGTTGGTGAAACTTTCTCTGCTACACAGTTGCATAGTGTAGAAAAATCATTGAACTGATCTCTGAGCTGAATATTGCACCTGAGAAACTTGAGTGATATCATCAACTTACCTGCTGGTTCTAGGGAAAATGAGGACTAGTTTCTGAAATAAAAATTTGTTCTGACATTGTCAAATACCTGCACTTCTGATCCAGTGTGTTTTTGCTGAACGTAATTGAAAGCTACAAGTGTTTCTGGGAGAATTCTTACCATGAATTTTTTCCAATGTATTGGCTTTTTTCCAATGTATTGGCTAATGGCCCTTGTTGGAGGTGAGATGGATGTTTCTTAAAGTTTTTAGGCATCATTTGTTTATAGCCGCTCTTGTATTCATTTGGGAAAAAATGTTTAAATGAACTGTGGAAGTTGGTCTCTCAGAAAACCTCTAAGGTGTTTCAGCTGCTGTTTGATCTAGCCCATTGACTTGGAGAGACCACAGGGTTTGTGCTGCCACTGGTCTCTTGTTTGTTGAAAGAACTACCTCCTGTGTTATGGAAATTAAAGTGTTTTTTGATAGGGAGAACAGAGAAAGGAACTGCTGGTCTCTGCAAGGAGCATCACTATGTTGGATTTGCAGAAAAATGTATGAGAGGCAGGTGAGCTGTGCATCTTGTGCTCTTTTGCACAGCAATGCTATCAGTCTTCTTGAAATGCATTAAAAACAAGTTAAGAGGAAGTGTGTAAGGAAAAAGTAGTATGTTTTTCATGGATGCAATATTGTGTACATCAAAAATAATGCTAATTGTTACATTGCTCAAGTAGAACAGGGCCCTGTATGTGAGAGTTGTAATTGTAGTCTGTTGTTTCTGTAGGTCTTCAGTGTATGCTATCTTTGAGAATGATATTCAAAGGAGAGTCTTTTGAGTTGTTGCAGGGAATTGTTACATGGGTAAAACTGAAATCGCAAGACAAGGAAATGTGATCTGAATAAAATGAGTCAAGAATATTGCTGTAATTCTTCTTACTGAATTGTTAGATTTTCTTTGATTTATTGCAGTGCTGCCATCCTATTTATTAGCAAATACTGTATTATTTTTCTGAAATAGATGGCTTTGGTTCTCTAGTTTTTCTGCATATTAAGGAATTGAATCTTTATGGTTACATTCTAGATCTTTATTTGGCACTATGAAGTTGTGGTCCTAAATGAGGAGGACATCAGATACCTTCTTTCCATGTAATTCTTGGGAAGTATTTATGACACCAGAAAAACTATATTTAGATTATATTTACATAAAATGTGGGAGTTTATTTCTGAAGATTCTAAGATGTTTCTTCATATTGACTGTTAATTACTGGGATTGTGTTTTTGTGTTACACTTCAGTAGATCAAATGCAGTTTTCTCTTTTTCTGGAACACATCCATGCAACACTTTGCTAAAATTCCCATTTGAATGCATTGTAGGGAGTTGAAATTTCTGAAGGAAATTTCAATTTGTTTAGCTTACAGGAGAGCAGGTAAAATGGAGACTCCAAAGCATTCGTTTCCTTGCTTTCTGGGCCAGCAAATTATTCTTGGTAGTTGGAGCCTCCTGAATTCCTGGCAGTTGGTAATAACAGGACAGTGTTTTCTTGTGCATAGTATTGTGTTAGACTTCAAGTTACCTGAAAGATCTTTTTGGAGAATATACTCCCAAGTACTGTTTTGCTGGTAGAAAATGTTACTCATTTTAAAATATATTTGAGAACATGGGTTCTTCATGGTATGCAAGATTTGCAATAGTCTCAATATTAAATGCTTCTAGTTACTGTGTATGGAATATGTTTATGATTTCACTAAGATATTTAAGAAAATTGTGATCATTCTGAGCATGGGAATTGGTCATGTTAAAAAATTTTATCCTGGCACCTGGCATAATTTTTTTTGTAAAATGTTGCCATATTGTGGCTATTCTGAGGAATGACTTGGATTGGTTTTGTAAAGTTGGGATTAAAAGTAAAGCCACGAAAAGGTGTCTTCATTCTCAAATTGTTTTAGCTGTAAGTATGTTCTGTCTGCAATCACATGCTGGAAATGATTAAACAGTTACCAGCACCCTTTTTGCTTCAGTTTTTCTCAGGTTTTATTCCAGTTTTATACTTAGGACTAATTTTCAGTCAGTGATATTAGAACAGTCCTACAATCCAAAACTCAACATGGTGTTTTGCTGGTAGTTGGTACTTCAGTTTATGTGAGTAGATCTATGGGTTCTAAACCAGAATGAAGTTTTTCAAAATTTCTGTATGTTTTAAAGACTGACAGCTCAAAATGTGCAAGGGAGATGTGCCATGCTTCAGACTATAATATATATTTATCACGTTTCATAAAGCTGACATGATTTTGTTTCTTTTGGTATTATGGCATGTGGCCGTAGAGTTTATAACTGAAATCTAGTGCTCCTGTTCTAATGTGGTTTTTTTCTTTTTTTTTCCCTAGTGTTTGAAGTCTTGCAGAATGGCAGACGTAGACAAGTAAGTAAAATCTGTCCATGATTTTACTGCTGCTCTGAGTGTGTCCTGTGCTGTACTTGACATGGCTGGGCTCTCCAGATACTGGATAGGCAGGGTCTACACACTGACCTTGAGCACTGTGGCAAGACCTGAGGAGGAAAGCTTATTTTGTTCATGATAAATGGGTTTGTGATCTTAATTGTAAGTAAATAAGAAAGTGGAAGAAGGCATGAGTCAACTTCCTATATTAGTTGGAATTCTGGAGGGGAAAACCAGATAATATTGCCCATTCCTATTGTTTCACTCCATGTAGGGTTCTTTCTATACTTTGAGTGCTCTTATTTTGTGGCATTCAAAGTATAATGTAGGTGATCCTACCCACTCTTAAGGAAGATATGTGGAGCAGAGGGAGGCTTTGACTGGTTAATAAGAGCAGGAGATGAAGGAGTTTTTTATAGAAAGAAACTTTGTAATCCTGGAAAGTTGCTAATTCTGTAAACTGTTCTGGGATTGTCAAAAGGGGAACTTCTGTGAAGACAAATTTGGTTCTGTTTGTCTATTAAGACTTGCTTGTCAAAGGTCAAAAGATGCAACAGTTTGTTTCTACCCACATAACCTCTAGTTTGAGCTCTTTAAGCTCCTTAGAGTATATTATAAAATTAACTACTTGATTGAATGAACTTGTTACTGAATATTTCTAATAGCAAAGAACAGTCTGAACTTGATCAGCAGGATATGGAGGATGTTGAAGAAGTAGAAGAAGAAGAAACTGGTGAAGATGCCAACAGTAAAGGTAATGTTGAAACGAAGAGTTTCTAAACTTCTAAGCGTATGTGCTTTCTAGTTTGTTAAAAAGTTTTTACTGCAAAAAAAATAGGAAGTGGTAAAACAATTTCAGATGGGCCATTGTGTTTAAGTTCTGAAGCAAGGACTTTTTCTTTCAAATTGAGTGATTTTTATTAGTTGCAGTTACTCATTGTAGTCATGTTTAATACCAGGTTCATGCGGTGCCAGCCACCTGTATAATTGGAAAAGACAGGATTATTGTGGATATGTAACAGGATTATTTAAAAACTTCACACACGTGAAGTTTTGAGTATAAAAAATTAATGCGTGCATATGTGTGTATGTGTATCTCTTACTTTTGATTAGTTGCTAATAATTTGCTGTTGAGTTGGCAGTGAACAGAACAAATCATGCTTAGTGTTACCACTCTTGAAATTAATAAATTCTTTTTTAATCCCCCCTCAACAAATAATGTAAGCACATATCAGAATACTTGTTTTGTCAGTGCTGAACAGTCTTACTCATGCTTTGTATTTGAAGTGTGGGGGCACAGATGGAATCTAAAGAGCAACTAGCCAAAAGAGAAATAACTAATAATCTCTGCAATAAAATTACTTGGACTGCTGATAGTGCCATGTTTCAAGTTTGCCCGAGCAGAATAATAACATTAAAATAGAACATTTTGCTCAAGGTGGTATACGTCGCTAATCTATCGAAAGAAGTGTTTTCAAAACTGGATTGCAAAATTTTGGGGAGCGCTAATTAGCTGAAGTAATTAAATGGCCTACAGTAATTAAATGGTAAGTATTCAGGTGTCCCACAGGAGCCTAGAGATGAATAATGTGTATTTTCAGTGATTTCCCAGTTATTTTAGGTGAGAATCAGAGGGGAAATTATACTCTAGAAATCCTAGACAGAAATCAGATTTTATAAATCAGAAACGTATTTTGGTATTAGGGAGACTTCACACAGTTTTAAACAGTTCTTCTGCACCTGTAATTCTTGCTTGTCTAATTTTCTTTATTTTATGCACAATTCTTTCTTTCAAGATTGGTCCCAGAAGATGCACTTTGTGCTTACTTAATCTTCTTTTTTAATTCAGCTCGGCAGTTGACTGTGCAGATGATGCAAAATCCTCAGATTCTTGCAGCCCTTCAGGAAAGACTTGATGGTCTGGTAGGAACATCTGCAGGATATGTAGAAAGGTACAGCATTGGTTTAGTATGAGCAGAGTGTTAAAATGGTTCTTTTAAAATGTTTTCTGAACAGTGCTATCTATGGTTTATGGTCATAAACTACTGTTTATGTGGTTTTATCTGCTCAGATAGCAGAAAAACTGATATAGTCTGTTTGTAGTGCATCTCAGAATTAAAGAGCTTTTAGTTGAAGTTTCATGAAGACTGCTAATATTTAGCATTTAGTGGCTGATGTTTTCATCTGCAATTACAGTATGGCACACTTGTTAGGATACTTTCCTGATCCTTGGAATCTCTTTTGTAGCTTTGCCTTGGTCATGAAACAGTTATTTAAACTGGACAGATGCTTGGAGGCCTGGTGTCTCTAGCATAGTAATTTTATGCTTAGACTGTAAGCATTAGCTGATACAGCAATGTTATTAGCAGTACTTCATGTGGTTTTCTCAGTATCAAAACTTGCTATAAATTCTTGCCAAAATTTTCTGTAGTTGATCTGCATTTATGAGGCATGTAGTAATAGCTTTCCTTTTGCACATTTGTAGTACAGTGGCTCATTTAGCAAACCAGTTCATGCTCACTTTGGATCAGACAGTGTGTTTAAAGACAGTGCTATTAGCTGCTGCACTCAGTGAAACAAAGCAGCAAATTTTGAAGAGTAAATATCTAAGCAAAAAATAACAACTGTCTTGAACTTTTTCATAAAACCAAACAAATTAATGGTGAGACCTTTCTTAGTTGTACTCAATACTGTGATTTTACTTTGTAACTCATTAATAATGTAGAACTTGTTTTTAGAAGGAAGATTTATTGCACAAATTTCTCTCATGATTTACCCAGGTGTTTGGAATACTCTGGTTCTAACTGTGGTTGAGCCTCAGTTTAAGAGTTTGTGCTAAGGATTTCAATGTCATTGGTGAAAGTGGTTGCAGCTTTGATTTAAACTTTCTGAAGCTTAAAACAGAGTGTAAAATGTGTTGTGGTACAAGTTGGTTAACTTGCAAGGGGTCTGGTTAAGGAGAGATCAATATGTGCTTAAAATGCAGTGTTGGTAACAGTTCTGTCACTGAATTTTTCAGCTTGCCTAAAGTTGTTAAAAGACGTGTGAATGCTCTCAAGAATCTTCAAGTTCAGTGTGCACAGATAGAAGCAAAGTTCTATGAGGAAGTTCATGAGCTGGAAAGAAAGTATGCTGCTCTCTATCAGCCCTTATTTGACAAGGTATTTTAGTGCTACTCTGATTTGTACTTTAAAGCTTCATCTAAAATACAGCAAGGGATTGTAAAAACCAGAACACTTACTCATGCTCCAAATTACTTTGGTCTCATATGTGCCCCTTCAATTCAATTGATACAATTTTGCCATTCAAGTGAATATAACTAAGATTGAGAGAGTGAAAAGTTAAGTCTGTTCCATAGTTACCAAAATGACTTCAGTATATCAAACCTCATTTTAATTGAGCAAATGTCAGATGATACTGTAACTTTTCTGGGACTTTGGTGTTTATTTTAGTGTGTTGTAAACCTCCTAACTGCTGAATCAATCTTCTAGAGCCATAAGAAAAGGTAGATAGTTAATGTATTACTAATTGTGTAATTTAGGATTAGGAATTTATTGGTTAGGGCATTGCTGATTGCAATGACTAGGAAATTAAAAACTATTCTTGGTTTAATCTTCCAGCGAAGTGAAATCATCAATGCCATTTATGAACCTACAGAAGAAGAATGTGAATGGAAAGCAGATGCTGACGAAGAAATTTCAGTGAGTATCTTAATTAGTTCTCATCAATGTCTCAAGCTTTAGCATGAAACAAGAGGTTTGTAATGATTATTTGCTATTAGTAATGATCCTGATTCTTAATGGTTGCTTAAACATCCACATGACACTGGTATCAGCAAAGAACTGATGAACCTTATCATGAACCTCTTAAAATTAGGAAACCAAATATTTTTATTTTATCAAGGATGAAATGAAAGAGAAAGCTAAGCTTGAAGAAGAAAAAAAAGATGAAGAAAAAGAAGACCCTAAAGGAATCCCTGAGTTTTGGCTGACAGTATTCAAGAATGTGGACTTACTCAGTGATATGGTTCAGGTAGGCAGTGGTCTAGCTTTGTTTAAAGTTGCATTGGTAATTAATCCAAGTGTCTTTAAGAAAGCAGTGGAAACACTTTGATACTCTATATGTCTGTTGGAGAGCAATAATGGAACTGTTACTTGGATGTCATCTCTGGTAACTTTTCAAGTGAGAGTACAGAGTACTGAAATACCTCCCTGCTGTTTTATTTCTTGAACCTATTCTATGATACTAATGAATTTTTGGTGTTTATAGAAGTGTGTGTGACAAGTGTGTTAGACATGACTAAAAACTGTTTGTGGTGTTAGCGTGGGTTTTGGTTGTATACTGTACTGGGGACTCTGTAACAGCCATTGTTGCCATCTGCTGGTCATGTTCATGGAAGTTTTTCAGTGTTGTAACAAGGTTTTTTTTCCTAAGTCAAACTTGTTCTAAACATGGCTTTTTATCTCTGTGAGGCCTTAAATCTGTGTGTAATTGAATGTTATGAAAATTAAATACACTGTGTTTTCTCTGCAGGAACATGATGAACCTATCCTGAAATACTTAAAAGATATAAAAGTGAAATTTTCAGAAGTTGGACAACCTATGGTGAGTTTGACTTATTAAACAAGATTACTTTTATGTTATCTTAAGAATTATTTGTATTTTAGCAACATGGTCTGTGATAGCCAATTGTCTTGTGGAAATCATGAGAAAATATACAGCTGCTGCTTCTGAGAAAGCAGTACAAGGTCTAGTGCTAATCTTGCATCACCCTGTGAATGGTGTATACTGAATTTAGCCTTCAGCTTCTGATGAGATTTGCCTTAACAGCTGATAATTTAGGTTTCACCATTGCATTTTGATACCTTTGGGTACTTTTTGTGTAACTGCTGTAATTTCATATATTTCCCTGGCAGAAATCAGACCATTTTCTAAGTTATAATATTTTTAAATTTAGAAATTCTCCCTATACATTAGTAGCTGGAAATCTGTGTGCTGGGAGATCTGTCATTACTGCCAGCAGTACAATAACTAGAAAGTGCAAGATCAAGTAAATGAAAAGATTTGAAGATCTTTGTACAACTTGGGTGGCAAATTCTAGAATAAGTTATGCGTGTATTGGAGAAAGGTGTATTCTGTTGCATGTGTACTGCTTGGATTTAGGTGTTAAGAATTTAAAGGTGTTTGTAAATAATTAAAGTTACTGTTCTGCAATTCTTTTTAAGAGTTTCACATTAGAATTTCATTTTGAACCAAACGACTACTTCACAAATGAAGTGTTGACAAAGACGTATAGAATGAGGTCAGAGCCAGATGATTCTGATCCCTTTTCCTTTGACGGACCAGAAATCATGGGTTGTACAGGGTAAGTGCTAATAGATACTATTAAGGCAATATAGCAGCTTTGCCCTTAGCATTATCCAGCTGTAGAGTTTTACAGCATCTTGGGGTGGTGCTGGAAAAGATACTTCCCCTAGTAACTTGGGAACAGCTAGGTTTGATATGAGTTTTTTTGTTGTTACCAATAACTTCGATACAATGTAGAAAAACATTATTTGTATTGCATAATTTATAAGCATATATATTATATAAGCATATAAATAAAAATATAGTCAGTATTTGTTTAGAACTACTGTTCTGCAGTCACTAAAGGGGAATTGAAATCTTTTAGTATCTTTTAGTAGGCCTGTATAGCTTTTGCTAGAATTTGTTTGATTGCTTTTATTAATATTTTTGTATTTCTGACATGCCGCATTTTGGGGAATTTATATCAGATTTATTCTTTATATTGCAGTTGTCCATTTTGTTTTATAAGCGTTGAATGTTTGCCTTTGAATTTCTGTCTATTTGAGAAATGGAGAATAGTCCTCATAATTCCAGGTTACTCTTTTTAAAAAGCTGTCACACTGCTTTCGTTGTGAAATCTTCTGTTTTAAATTAGTTAAGTAATTTTTTCCGCTGCATTTCCCTTTTTTGTGAACAGAGGGATGAGAGAAAACTATGTTGTACATAACTATTCTTATGAGTACACTTGGGCCTGTTCAGTAACTTTTGTGTTCAAGTCTCCAGTGTTCTGACTGTTCTTTTGAGTGATAACAACTGAGTTACAGACTATCACTGCATAGTCAGTGTTGGTTTTGCTCTTAAATTAATCTCCAGTTGCTCACACTGACTTTTTGTCTCTTTATTTCCCAGTCACTTAACATATTTTCCAAAGTCCTGTAAGATTTAATTTTAAATGCCTGGGTAGCTTTGATTAAACTGTTTTGTCTTCCCCAGTTTGGACTGATTGGCAAATCATGAATGTTGACAGGGTTTGGTGTGAGTTGCCACTGCTTCTATAAAAATTATTAACTCCTAGTCCTTGTTTTCTCTTGTAGCTAGGATGGCCCCTTCTTGTCCCAAAGCAACTCACTGAATTCCTTTGAGTCTGTAAAAGAATCTAATCCAGAAACTTCTGCAAATGCAGTTACTTTCACTGATGTGACTTTTCATTTACTTGTCACCAGAATGCTTTGACTGCTAGGGAAGCCTGTAGGCATGATTTTGCTCTGTAAGCAGAATAGAGTTAAAAAACCCAAAAAAACCAAAACCCAAACAAATGAATATAACACAAGACAACAAAACCCCCACAAACAACTCAAAATCAGCCAAAACCTACATGCTTGTTTGATGCATTGTTTTAGGGACTTACTGGCTATAATGATAGGTATGGTGAACTTTGGCATATTACTAATATGCCCAAATATGACATTGCTTTACAATGGATGGGAGGCTCTAAAATTGGTGCAGTACTAGCTGTTGATAGAAAGCTAGGCACTATTTGGTAGCTAATGAAAATTAGCATTTCAGAGATTGAGTGGAGAAGGAAAAAATTCTGGATGGAAATAATCCTAAAATTAACCTGTTACTCTTGTTCTCAACCGATAAACTAATGAAAAGATAGGACTAAATAAATACTAACTTAATATTCTTTCTTCCCTGTATCTCTTGCAGTTGTGATAGTCTCAGTAGATACTCGTAACAAGGGGAATGGTATTAAGCTGCAGGTGGTTGTGGGTTTTTTCCCTGTAATTTGGTTTTTTTTTTTTTACTCTTTAGTTGCCAAATAGACTGGAAAAAAGGAAAGAATGTTACTTTGAAAACCATTAAGAAGAAGCAAAAACATAAGGGCCGTGGAACTGTCAGGACGGTTACAAAAACTGTTTCCAATGACTCTTTCTTCAACTTCTTCAGTCCTCCTGAAGGTAAACTAAGCATTAGTAGTATAACACTAGTTAATGCTACATGTATTAACTTTAGATGTAGAATGTATCTCACTCCCTTGTTTCTTCTGCTTTTTTTTCCTACAGTTCCTGAAAGTGGAGATCTGGTAAGTTGGCTTATTTAAAAAATAATGATGGTGTGTTTATGGAATTTTAAAATTTGTTAAACAGCCTCAGCTTTAACTGCTTCTGTCTTTAACTGAGACTACTTATGAAGACTAGTATGTATTTGAGTTTTCTTTTTCAGGAGGAATGTTTGAGTTGGATGGTAGAGTTTAGTTTAGTCAACTTTAATAGCTTATGTTTCCTGAAAGCTACCTTGTGGATTGTTAACAGTTATAGAAATGTAGTGATCTACGTTATTAGTCTTTGATCTAATGGGTGGTGTAAGTCTCTCCCTTCAGGTGTTCTTTGGATGATTTTATCTAATGGCTGAATGTATCCAGTTTGTATTTTATTCTGTTAAAAATTTCTCAAGCTGTTAACTCTTGAAAGTAACAAAACAGCAACAGAAAACTGCAAGAGCCTGCTTTTCTGTGTGCTCACTGTGGTAATAACCCATCGTTTTTGTAACGAGAAAAACTACCAAAAATACTTAACAGTAGGGAATATATTATGCAGTTTGAGTGAGAAATACGAAATTAAAGGTTCCAGAGGCATGCTGTTAGAACTCTAGTTGGCATGGACACCAAAAGCTGTGTGTTCATAACATTTAGAAAAACAAAAAGTAATTGCTCAGATGGGAGACAGCAGAACACTTGGTATGAAAACAAGAGGAGTGAAAGTCTCAGATTGGATCAGAGAGCATTTTGAAGTGTTCAAGTGCTTCAGTAGTGGCTTTGTCTAATGGGAATCAAGGGGATGCACTGTAGGAATCAGAAGTAGGTTGTAAAATCTTTATTGTGATAGGCTTACCTGGCTATTGTTCACTTATTTAAGAGTATTGTGCATATGAACTGAAAGTCTATGGGAGATATTAAATAATCTTTATACTTGGAATAAAAGAAACTCCAGAATGGTATATAATTAGGCTTTCTGAAGCAGCAGCTCCTCCCTGTGTAATGTAGGTGGGCTGTTCAGAGTGTCGAGCTTGGCTCCTCAGGTTTAGTTCTCTAAAGCAGCTCCTGGAACAAAAAAATCAGTAACGGGATCTGTGTAAATCTGACCACATCAAAATCATGTAACTTGTGTGTATGTATCAAAAGTAGTTACCATCTTATAGTTTAGGAAATAATACTGTTTTCTGCAGGATGATGATTCCGAGGCAATCCTTGCTGCAGACTTTGAAATAGGTCACTTCTTGCGTGAACGTATAGTGCCCCGGTCAGTACTGTACTTCACTGGAGAAGCTATTGAAGATGATGATGATGATGTAAGTATAATATTCATTCAGAGCACTAAAAACCTTCAAATAATGCTGTTTCATGCTTGGGTAATTTCTTACATTGGTATCTTTAGAATGGAATGTTAGTTGCAGCAGACCTTCCTAGATTGTTCAGGAAGAGCGGTATAAAAATAATTCTTCTTTGAAGCAGTGACTTCAGAGTTTTTTGGCAAAAGCAGTGGTAGAAGCTGATCATCTAGAGGATGTCATAGTAGCATTTTGTATTTAAGGCATTCCTAGAGAAGTGTACCCAATACTTTGTGGAACTGTAATGAACTGCCAGAGAACAAATGAGACTTTTTCTAGCTGCTAAGCCTGTTCTTTGTGCTTACAGTGACATTGGGCTATGAAGTTTTCAAGTCTCGTCCTTTCAAAAGTACTCTCTTACTTTAAAAAAAAAAGCTAGATAAGCACATTCAAAGCATGCCAAAATAATCAAAGCAAGTTCTGCAAAAGCTTAAGTGTTTTAAAAGAGCTAAGCTTGAAATTGTCAAAACATGAGACCTCAGAACTTTATACAGGTATAAAAGATTTTTTCTGTCACTGCTTGGGCTAAACAAGGACAGTTTGACTGTTAAGATGGCTTAGATATATGCCATCTTAAAAATAAATGTTTAGAATCTAAACTGCTGTCCCTCGTTGCAAAGGCTTGGCTGGGGCTGCGGAGGAGGGAGGTACTGACAGGACGGCTGCTTTGGGCTCCGCTGTCCCCTGCTGTCCCCCAGTGGTACTGCAGGGCAGTCAGCTCCTCCCGGGCTGCACGGAACGGGACAGTCTGCTGCTCTGCCAGAGCTCACCGGGGGAAGTTGAACATTGCTCATGCAAAAAGTGTTTTTAAATCTGACAGACACAGGAGCTTCTTGGTTCAAATTAAAAGAGACTAGATTTAGATTAGGTTGGATGAGACTCTGAGCAACCTGGTCTAGTGGAAGGTTTCCCTGCCCATGGCAGGGTGGTTAGAGCTGATGACCCTCAAGGCCCCGTCCACCCCAAACCATTGTATGATTCTCTTAAGATCACAATATGGAGTGGTCTCTGGCATCTACTTGAGCTATAGATAGCTGCATTTATGATATTATCAAAACTATTTATTTTCTTTTCTAGTATGATGAAGAAGGTGAAGAGGCAGATGATGAGGTAAGATGACAGATGCCCCTGATTCAAATAGTTTGAGTTGTAGTTTGTTATCTAGAATAAGAGTTCCTTTAGTTTTTGAGTGCTGTGGACGCTAAGAATTACTTCTGAAATAAGATAGAGCATACTGTTTGGTGGCTCTCAGATTAATAATTTAAAAAACCCAAAAACAAAACAGACAACCAGCAAGACAACGGCAACAAAAAACCCAAACCAAGCTAAGACAATGTTCAAGGTATCTTAAAAATTAAGCTGCCACTGATTTCAAAAGATACACATTATTGGAGGATAAACTAATACAATATGTATAACATAAAGTGGTAATGGATGTATTTCTGAGTACAGTTTAATCTTAATTTTCATGAAAATGGCTCCGGAAGCTGAATGTGGTTAAGCTAGAGAAATATTAAGTGTTTTTTTTTCAGGAGGGAGAAGAAGAAGCAGATGAAGAAAATGATCCTGATTATGAACCAAAAGTAAGGAATTAAAATGAATGTTTAAAGTTTGTGTATGCATAGAGACATTTAAAATTTTATGTATGTTGAATCTTGATTTTAGATTAAGTATTTAACCAATAGTTCCTATGGGTGAGCATGTTTTGTTTTGAGGCTGTTTCGGGCCTAATTCTGACAGAGTAGAATTGGTAGAGAAACTTTGTAAAAGTTCTTTCTCCAGGAGTCATTTTGTAAAAGTAACTTTTGGCTTTGAGCATTGAGGTTAGTCAGGCTTGGTTTTCTATAAACTTGTCTTGCACCAATTTGCTGCCTAATGAACATTGCAAAATGGTTGTAAGGACGTGGAGAGAATTGTGTCATCCAGCTTCAGTTTTTGGGGACTTGCTACAAGCTGGCTCTGGCACAGGTTTTCCCAGCAGAATACAAAATACACTCTTTCATGTTAGGTCAATGGCAAATCTTTCATTGTTTGAGGTAGCAGAAGTCAAGGTTCAGCAATGCATCTACAGCCAAGTCCTAAAATGTGAACAGCCAAGAGCAACTGGAAGCTTTCTGATTCCATGAGAAGGGAAAAATTATTAATCAGGCTGGAAAAACAATTGTGAGCCATTCAATTCATAGCTTTTTGATAGCTGAGAGAAAGGAGCCTCTGGCCACATGAAAGCATCTGATGTGGCAGGTGAAAGTTGCAGTCATGAAGTCTGAAGTGCTCCAAAATGTCTGCTGTTAAAAGGGCTTGTCATTTCAAATTAGTGTTTTTCAGTAGGAATGGCTTGAGCTGCTATCAAAGTACTGTTGAGAAAATTGCATTAATCTTAGCTTTGTACATAGAAAGGCAGGGTACAAACTTGTGATCGAAATGTGCAGCCATCTTGGTGATGTTTGATCTGCTATAGTGTATTCAGATTGGTTCCTAGTCAAGAAAGTTTTGAAATCCAAATGAAACAGCTGCAAGTTGGACTTATTTCCACCATTTGAGATTGCTTTTCTCCGTGAAACAAAACTGAGAAAGGGCTAGACTAGGCTCAGAGAGCTGCTCAAAGACTAGAGATAGGAGTAGTGCTATAGTGGTGTACCAGCTGATCTCAGGCTGTAAGCCACCTGAATTTATTGAAGTACTGTGCTCCTAGAATAGCTATCCAGACCAAGGAAGGTGATGGAGTAAAAACTGCAACTGAACTCTGCCCCTCCCAGAAACTTTCTTGAATTCCCATATTACTGTGACATATTAATGGCTGCCTGTTTCACGAACAGAACTTTTCCGTGTTAGAATTTTTAAACTGGAATTTATTGCAAAAGATGCTTCCAGGGCATTGGGAACTGTGATTTGGCATTTCATTGCATTACTGTACAGTGTCTTCTGGCATAAGGCCATGCTCTTGTTACCACCCATAGGAAGTTTCTTTTGTCTCAAACTGTGAAGAGGGTCTGCATGCTTCTTCTGAGCTTGGTTGTTTGTTACTGCACCTCACTCTTCTCCTTTTTCCAGTTACAGTGTCTTTTAGAGTACTTCACCACACTTAGTTCTGAACAGGTTTTTATTCTGGATTGTATCCTGATGTGCCAACAAAGTCAGAATAAATGCAGTGTGGATATTGCTGCATCCAATGACAGTAGTGTTGCAGGTGCTAGACAATTAATGCAAGGGATAAGATGGAAGAACTTTAGAAGAATATTGCAGCTTGAGAAAGCATGCTTAGCAATATTAATAGTTCTTCTTAAATACTGTTTCTCTAAACTGTATTTCCTTTTTTTTTCAACAGAAGGATCAAAACCCAGCAGAATGCAAGCAGCAGTGAAGCAGTGTGTCTGTGGCCTTGAGGATTACCTGCACTGTAATAGCCTAAACACAACTATTAGTTACTTACAGCCTTATGTTTTGTATCTTGGTAGAATTAAGTAACCAATTTGTTAAAAAAAGAAATCGAACACTTAAGAACCAGTTTAAAATGTAGGTTCAATCTACCTAGCATTTTAACAGTATAATTTTCTGCCAATATGTAGAATGCAGTAAATGCCCTAAAGCATGAATGTTAATTCATTGCTACATAGTTTGGTTCTTGTGAAGTCTTTGTCATGTAGCTATTAGACTGCAGCTGTGAAGATGATCAGAACTGTTAACTGAGACCAATATTTGTTTAGAGAAAACTCTCTCCTGAAGAACCAACCAAAGTATTTTTTCAGCCCAGTAGTCTGAACGGGTTTAAGTCTGCTTGCACTAGCTGTGCCTTCATTACTTTGTTATAGAAATGGCAGTGACTTGTACTAACGGAGATGATGATGCATTTTAAATTTGACTACTTGAGAAGACTAGTATAACTTGTTTTAATTTCCTGACGAGATCACATTAAACATTCATAACTGTAGCTTGTTTATGCTATGGATTTTGTATTTTATGTGACATAGTGATCTACAAAAGAAACCTAGTCATCATATTAGGGTTATTGTTTACCACAGGGGTGTGAATAAAACCTTGTATTTTAAGAAGCTAGTCTTGTTTTATTACTTGTGTATCTGCATGTGTAAACTGGTAATGCATATCTTACATGCTGCAGTTCATGTTTTACTAGAAAAAAAAGCTGATAATTACTGAAAAGTAAATTATATAGCATTTGAAAAACAAACACAGTAGTTTGGAAAGTTTGATCCATACTTTGCACTTGCAGTGTGATACTTGTGAATCTGAGCTCAATGTTTCAGTGATTGGTCCACACTGCCATTTTAGAGAAGACAAGTTCTTAGAAGTGGGGCTAGATCTGATAAAGGACTTCGGTGCTGCTGTGCCTGACCCTAAGGCATTGCCTATTAGTATGAAATCTGGAGTGAAGTGCCTTGGATTTTCAGTCTGTGTAGATGGAACTAGGTGGTCCTGAGCAAAGCATGCCCTGCAGTCAAAGGGAGTGCTGGCGACACATGGCTGTATTCTAGTTTGTCCTCACTGTATCAAAAAACTATGAGGAAACCAACCCAAAGAAATTCTGCTTTCTTCACCTAATGTTCTGTTCACTGTGCTTGTGTTTGCTCATTCTGGTTCATACTTTGTCCATATTGGATATTTTTGTCAGTTGAAACACATGGGCTAGAAGATCTTTCTCGTCTCATTCTTACCTTGCCTGTAGCCTAGCAGCGGAGGTGCTTGGTGAGATGTGTACTTAAACATACTGAGCAGAAAGAGGCTATGAACTGATGTATTCTGAGTTTTGCTGGTCAATAGCATGCTAGTGTAGTCCATGCTGTCTTGTCCTTCACACAACTAAATATATATTCTAATCTTCTAAGCAAGTAGATAGCTTTTTCAGGGATGGAATAGTCCTTGTAGTGTTGGAAATTGATCTATTTCTGCAGTAGCTACTGTTTTTTGTGCCACTTACACACTTAGCCATAAAGGTTTTAAAAGAGCGGGACAAGGAGGAGGCAATGACCACGTGAGGCTAGGGCTGATGGAAGAGTTTCTGTAGCATGTCTCTTCCCTGGAGGGTAAGTAATACAGAATGAAGCTTATCCCAAGTGCCCTTCTAAATCCTCAGCCCCCCCTCAAGAAGATGTGGGTCTAGTGTCCTCTGACTAAAATGTTTTAGTTTTTTTATTGATTTTTCTTTTTAATTCCTTGAAGGCCTAAATACCACACTGCTTCATTTCAGAATCCCTGTCAGGCTTCTCCTCTCCAGGTATCTGTGGATTTGGGAGAAGGAGCTCATTATCTATAGCTGTATGTAAAGCAGGACCATTGAAGCTGTGATCTTAGGTGGTTTTTAGGTAACACAGATTATAGCGTAGAAAAAGCAGTTATGAAAGGTTAACAAATACTCTCAGTAGCTATGTGTTAAAGTAGATATGGTTGTGTTTTTTGTGCTATCAGAATATGCTTATGCTTATCCTTTATCCCTGACCCTGCCAGGTGTTTGGGTTTCACATGATCTCTTCTCTGAACATCTCCCAAGGTTAGGTTTCAGCTTGAGGACATAGAGAGACCAAACTGTGATGGTATGTTCTGAGCTTGAGAAGTCATTAGGATGGGGCTTTGGAGTTCATATATCTGGATATGGGAAGTCTCTGAAGTCCTTACTTAGATCTAGCCCATTTTTGCTAACAGCATCTGGTAACTGTATTTTTAAAAGAAAATGAACTGTTAAAAGTAAGTTTCAAAATTCACTACTTAACAAATTTGGCTTGCTTTTTGATTACTTTCTCATTTAACACCTTCATAACATGCAATGGGATACAATATTTGAAAAGGGGAGTTGTTAGATGCACACCTGCAGCCTGCAAGATCCAGGGTCATGAATACATCCTATTGACAGATTTTGGTAAGCTTCTCTCCAGATTGACATGCTAGTTCTAAATCAGCAGTTCTTGTGCTCTCCAGACTGCAGCAAAAAGAAGAATATAAATGAGGTGCCAGTTCTTATGGCATTGGTTAAATTAAAACTGTTCTGGTGCTTACTGTAGTTTTGTTATTAATGACACTCTTGTTTAGCAGTTCTGAAAGGCAGTATGTAGCAGGAACATTAAACTTTCAACATTGATTGGAGTGTCGTGACTCATTCTTTTCACTTTCCATTTATACCAGGTGTAGAGAATCTCCTCTAATATTTGAGGAGGGTAATTTACCTTGTTAACAGGCTCTGACTGGGAAAATGTGTCACTGAAATAGGAACTGCTGTCTTTGGCAGCAGTTGCAGAAATGCACCATAATTTAACAGCTGTGTAAATAGTGTCTTCTGTCCAGTTTTGTTTGCTGTATTGAAGGGAGAATTGTTTGGGGGGGGGGGGGAAGTGGGAGGTGGGTGAGGAAAGAGGAGAGAATTAAGTGAGACTTTGGATGACAGGGAAGGGGTTTTTGGGGCTTATGCTTGATGGAGACGGAGGCTTCTTTGCAATTCTTTCCTAATTGCTTTTAGCAATCTGGATTAGATTAGAATTGAGGAGTTTGCCTGTCTGAAACAACTTTGTTCATGTTAAAAAAAGGAAAAAAATAACAGCATCCTGAAAAAAGGAGCCCAGATTTAAGCTTAGCATTCCAAAGTTTTAATTTTTGGAGTTAGAAGTGTTAGAAGTTTACTTTTTGGTGCAGTTACAAGTGTTACCTTGGATTATTTGAACACTGGGCATAGCAACACTGCTGCTAGTGTCTCCTAGCTTCATAAGCTTGGATGCTCTTCTGGGTTATTGAAATTGATGTTCCTGAAACTAATAGCTGATACTGTAATTCTGCAATGTTTTGCTTTTTAAGTGGAAAAAGCCAGCAGAATGTAGAAAACTGGAGAGAATTAATGTGTTCACCTTCAAGCTGATACTCAAAACTTTCCCTGTGTTTCAGGGCCCATTGTTAACCTGATGTGGAAATTGATATGAAACGTATATGCAGATGAATGATTAACCCTTCTGCTAAAGGTTTCCTATTTCCAAAGGTGTCTATGCAGCAGTTGTTTACCAAATGCCTTCTTTTGGGCAGAGGATTGTGCTGTGACACTCTCAGCAGCTTAAGGAAGCAAAATACGACACCCTTCAGTACAAAAGGGACAGCCTGATAATGAAAGCATGAATAGCCTTGATGGTCTGCTAGGTTGGGTCCAGAGCCACATGGATGTTGCAATAGGTAGACTCAGCTCTACAGCACTTTCTCTTTTTTTCTGTACAGATTTGGTCTTCTCTAATCCAAGATTTTTACAGTTCAGAGAAGTTGCAACCACATCTCCATTTTTGTTTCTTAATAGTTGCTCAGTAACCTGTTTGAGGTTCCCCACAACATCAAGAGGATGTTGAATTGACTTTTAATTGGTAATGCTTGCCTAAATTGAGCATAAATTATCTACTGAAAATAATAAAGTCTTCTATACACTAACAAGAAGAGGTAGAAATTTGTCCATGTGGCATTTGTCTCATTGCTCTTAAAAATCCCCTTGTCAGACCTTTGCTCAGGCCTGGTAGTGTTTCACATGTGCTCCGCATCTCAGCTTTTGTAGGAAAGTCAGAATGAGTAAAGCAGACAAGATAGGGTACACCAGGCACAGATAAGCTGTTTATTCCATATTTTTCTGTGCCTGTGTACACCAGGGACAGGCACACAAGGTTTGAGAGGCTATGGCAGAAGGGCTCTTGTGTTCGCAGGTGTCTGACTAAAGCCTGTGAATTGTCAACACGAGTTGGTTCTGCAGCTGCAGGAGGGGCTGAGTCCTGAACTTTCTCTTATGAGCTTTGCTTCTGTGTGCTCAAGTGTTGGCAAGTAATTGCTCAAACTTACATTTGCCCTGCAGTGTGTTCTGAACTCATAGCATGTTTTACTGCAGTGGTCAAATTTGAGAACCTTAAAAGCTCCTTTACAGCCTAGTTTGTCTCTACAATGTGTGAGCTTAAGTTGGAATATTTTTGGAAAACCACTGCCTTGGAAGTGCTGCAAAGGACTTTGAAAAAGCCAGGCTGGAGAAGCTGCTATGCCAGTAGCTGGTGAATTGCCTACAGTTTATTTATTTGGTAGTTCCAGGGGTTTTAGGGAATGCTAAGGCCTGGCACAGTGTGGTTGTTAGTTATGGTAAATGTTTCATTTATGCTTTGTTTACTGAGGGGTATATACAGGTATCTGTGAGATGGAGTTGCTGACAGGAAAGGTCTACACCCAAGGTCACATTTTCAGACTGTAGTGTTTCAGGTTTGACAGTAGGAGGCATCTTCACATCAGCTATTTCTGGAATGGCTGCAGAACCTGCCTGGTATTTACTGAAACTTCAATAATGGTAGCAGATGTGAAGCATTTTATATAAATGCAATGGTTTAAATATGTATTTCAAGAAAAGTAATGTAAAATCTCAGTGTGATATTGTAGTGTGCCTAGCTGTTGAATGTGGTTTCTCAAAATAGTAATGCAAGAAACATTTGCAGAAGTTCAGTTGTGACTTGCATCTAGGAAAACAAAGTTTGTTATTCTTTATTGGCAAATTCTGCACAATATTTTATTTTATCGTGGAACTGTCAGTGTTTTATCTTGCACTAGTCTTGTAGCTTTTGACTGATCTGGATTTTTTGGTCAAACATAGTGTGTTTTAAATGGCTGTTAATATTTGTTGGCTTACAGAGTACAAATTTAAATGGATGTTTTGCGTGTTTGCTTCTGACCACATGCTTAGGTGAATTTCACCAGGAATAAAGAGTGCTGTGAGTCTGTATATTAGAGTATGTCCATCAGTGTTTGGAGTTGGGTTCAAAATCTGACATTCAGTGCTTTGTCATGGAAAGGTGAAGTAGAATGAATGTAGTAATTCTTTCTCCTGTATGTTTGATGAAAATATTGGCTTTCCACACTAGTCTCCATTTTTTCATATGATTAATTGCAGTTTACTGTCAGTACTGAGAACAAGAAAAAGTTCACCTTAAATTATACAGATAGAGGGTGTGTGTTAATGTCCTTAAGTGTTACAGTGCAATGTTGTGGGGTGGGGGCAGAGTTTTTTGAGTGCTGTTACAGTGTAACATGGCACTCTCAATTCAAATGTGAGTTTCTTCACTACTGGTTAGTGCATTTACCTGGAATCAAATGGCTGTTTGCTTACAACAGTGGAGCAGCAACCAAAACTGAACAGGTAAATTGTTAGAAATTGGTCTTCTGAAGGTTTAGCCTAGTGTCCTATGCCTTACATAAACTCAGTATTTTATTAAGCTGCTCTATATAGGTGAATGCATTTTAACCTGTTTGCTTTAGTGGGAGAGTTTCAAGATTGTGTGTCACATGAGCAGAGACCTCATCAGGAGCAAAGAAATCAGTGCAAAACACAGGTGGAAAGGCAGGAATTCTCTTACATTGCTCAAACTGTTTTTGAGGTACCTTGTATTTGCACAGTCAGCTGGAGACACAGGTATTTGTGCAAGGAATTTAGGTTCAAATGGCTGTGAACTGCTGGTGGAGGCAATTGGTGAATGGTGTTCAGATCTTTTGAAAATTAGCATTTGCCTCTGTTAAAACAGGCATAAAATGGTTGTGAGAATGAACTGTATCTTACAGTCTATCCATTCAGCTCTAAGGAGAAGGGACTATTCTTTTTATAAATGGATGGTTTAGGATATTGATTTCCTTTTCTGCCTAATTTATGGCTAGTCAAGTTGCCTTTGTTCCTGAGTGTTTTCCAGTTACCTCGAAAAGGGCAAACCAGCTAAATTTTAATTGCTTTTATTGCCTTAAACTGTTTACCCCTCAGCAATTTATCAAAATTACCTTTGAACTTCAAGAGGAAAAGATTATAAGAGGAAATCCTTTTTAAAATGTTATCAGAGATAAACTCCATTGATGCTATTATCATTCTTGATTTTTTTCTCTAATCTGTTAGAACACAGCACATGCTGCAGCATGATCTGCTTCCTAGCTGACAAGATTGATGTGAGGAGAGTTTTTTTATGGCCATGATAAATGTATGTTTAAAAACAGTGCTCTCAGACATAGTATGAAACTTCTAGCATTCAGTTTACATTGGCTTTGTCAGCCAAATTCAGCTATGTGGGATTTTGATTTACATCTAATACATCAGAGGATTAAGAATGAAATAGTTTCATATTAACCTTAGGTCACTTTACTTTTCTACTCATTTATTCAAAAGCTAACCTCGGGGGATAATCCAAACAATAAGCAAATGTGTGGCAAAAAAGCAGAGTGATAAAAATGCTCTTAGCTGCTTGCCAGTTTGATTTTGTTTGGTTGGTTTATTTTTTCCCCAAGTCTGTTTTTGCAATTTCCATGCATTGAGGTCCTGCTGTTTCCTTAGGGCAGTAGTACAGATGTCTTTCTTTAGACATTATTCAAACTGCTGCAGAAAGTAAAGATTTATTTTATATGTACAGTTGAAGCTGCTTCTCCCCAGGCCAGGGTAGGAATCAAGGTCTTGTATCGGTTCTTTCAGGCTTTCTTTTGTTTAATGGGGCGATGATCGCTTAAATATCAGGGTTCCGCTGGAAACTGGCGGTCTTTTACTGGGCTTGAATCGAAAACGTGCAGAAGAGGGCCCTTTACTGCTCTTGCCCAAGAAGGCAGGATGAGGAACTACATTTCAACTAAATAGTGCGGGAACACCCCGAGGAAGGCAAAGGAGCACTTTGGCGCATTTGCCGTGTCCTGGTAATCTCCGTGTATCATTCTAGCGCTGGCTAATACGGCGGGGAACCCCTTGCCTCCGCAGCCGTGCGGTGCCGTAGCCCCGGGCGGGGAGCCGGGCCGGGCTCGCTGCCGGGGAGCGCAGCCCCCGCCCCGCCCCGCCCGGCGGGCGGCCCCGCCGCGCCTCCGGCTCTGCTGCTCGCACCGCGCTGGGCTTCCCCGCGGCCGGCGGGCGGGAGGAGCCGCTCTTTCCGCTGGGTGTCACTCTGGGGTGGGAGAGACGCATTCAAAAGCGGGAGGGGAGGGAAAAGCCCGCCGACAACCCCGGCCGCCCGCACCGGCAGCGCCCGCCGCTCGCCACGCCGCGGCACGGGCGGCAGCCGCTCCGCTTCCTGCGGGCCGGAGCGCTCCCGGCCCTCCGCCTCGGAGCCGGCGCCCGGCGGAGAGTGTTCGGCTGGTGCCGCCTGCACCCCGAGCCCAGCCCCTGCGGGCGGAGGCCGTCGAACCCTTCCAGAAGGATGCTGGAGAGCGGCTGTAAGGCGGTGAAGGAGGGCATGCTGGAGAAGAGGAGCGACGGGCTGCTGCAGCTCTGGAAGAAGAAGCGCTGTATCCTCACCGAGGAGGGGCTGCTCCTCATCCCCCCCAAGCACCCCCCGCCGCCGCAGCAGCAGCAGCAGCCGGCCGAGCCGGCGGCCAAGATCAAGGAGCTTCACTTCTCCAACATGAAGACGGTGGACTGCGTGGAGCGGAAGGGCAAGTACGTGTACTTCACGGTGGTGATGGCCGAGGGGAAGGAGATCGACTTTCGGTGCGCACAGGAGCAGGGCTGGAACGCGGCGATCACGCTGCAGATGGTGCAGTACAAGAACCGCCAGGCCATCCTGGCCGTGCGCTCCACCCGGCAGAAGCAGCAGCACCTGGCGGCGCCCCACGGGTCGCGGCTCCGCGGCGCCTCCAACTCTGCCTAGCGCAGGTACGGACCCGGCTCCGCCGCTCCGGCTCCGCGGGGCTGCCCGCCCCGGCCGCCTCTTCGCCTGACGGGTGCCCTGTGTGCTCTCTTCTCGCTGCAGGTCACGGTCACGGAGCGCTGCCGAGGAGAGGGACAGAGCGCGTTCGTGGCGGACCTGCCCCAGGGGCTCAGAAACTGGGCGGACGCCGGAGGTGCGGGTACAGCGGAGAGAAGCGGCTCAAGAGCCCGAGCCTCAGCCAGCTGCTGCTGCTGCTTTGCCGCCCTCGGTGCCGAGAAGCATTTCAAATCCATTATTTATGAACCTTGGAAAGGATCCTTTGGTGCGATGGGACTTCTAGGAGACATGATGTACTGTAACTTTATTTTAATGTATTTTATTTTATTTATTAGGGTTTTCTTTTGGTTTTGTTTTCCTTTTTTTTTTTTTTTTTTTTTTTTTTTTTGTTTAAGGCTTGTTTGCAAGACATTTCTGAATGTAGGCCATATCAAAAAAGTAAAGGAAAAAACCAATATGCATGTAAGCTCCCTGAAACAATGGAGAAGTTCTGGGTACTTTGACTGTGTGCAATTTGACAAAAAGTTATTCATCTTTTACCCAAAATACACTATATTCCACCAGCATGGAAAATGTGATGTGTGTTTCAAAATTTGGCTGAAACCTGTACTGCATATGAAACCTATTTTCTCTAATGAGAACGACAACTATAATTTGGGGCTTAATTGATTATTTTTTAATATTAAACGTGGTGGAAGATGATAAAAAGTTATTCATGCTTGGCTATTCAAAAAAGCAATGTTGCTTGTCATTCTGGGATTGAAACCAACCTGTTTAATGTATGAACAGAAGGAATCTGACCAACTTCTTTTGTGCTACAGGAATCTGAGCTGGATTCCAGCTGTCTGTGTGGTGTGCTTGCTCCTAGGCTGGTGGGCCAGGGCTGGGAAGTGTTCATGAATGTTTCTTAGCTTCCAAGTCCAGGACTCCCTCTGCACGCTCAATTTTCAGAGTGATCGGGACTCTCAACCTGTGTTGCATTTTCATGGCAGTTTTTTAATGTCTTGCATTAAAGCAGTCTGTAGTTTATAATTTTATGTATGTTTTAGCGTGCAAATGGATTATTTTGGTCACAGTTTTTATAAGCTGAAAGTTGCTCTCTAGCTGAGATGAACTAGATTAATTTTGGTGTTTAGCACTGTCAGATGTTGAGAGAGGCGTGCTATCTTGCCTCTAAAAACGTTGATGAAGCCATGAAGTTGGAAAACAAAGGGCTAATTGCACAGCTGGTGTGTGTTTCTCTGCCTCTTAGAAGTCAGTGGGATTGGGCTGCCGATGCCGGTCGGAGCTCCTTGCCCAGTGCAGAGGAGGCAGTCGGGCACGGGCAGGGACATTTCCAGGACAGGGCCCTTCTGACGGTGGCTGCTTCACCTCGGGTGCTGCTGCCGCCCAGGTTCTCCGGTTTAAATGAAAGGGGGAGGCTGCAATGGGACAGAGCAATGTGGCCCATTATCTATGGTCCAAGGTAAAATGTCAATGCTGTGGAGATATTTATTTTAGTTAGTGTGGTGAGGAAAATGACTTTTGGCCCCTTTACAATTTACATTAATATAAACAAAATCTTTTAAAGCTACACATCCAACACTTTTTGTGTAAATGAGCAAGAGCCTTACATTCTTGGTGCAAACTTGTTTCTGTCAGTGTTTAAAGAAAAAAACTGATGTCATGCTCAAAGGGAGATTTTAGAATTCACTATGGTGTCCGTCAGTCCCTTCCTCTGCACTCTAAGATTAAGTCAGTCCTGTAAGGGAGTAAGTTGAGGTCTGTGCTAGCCCTTGTCTTTTGTTCCCTCCTCCAGGTGTCAGGGTCACAGATCTGGACAAGTAAAGCATGGTATGGTGCAGATCAAAACCCTGACAATGCTCTGTAGTTACTCCTGAGCACTTCTTTTCAACCTGGCCCTCTCCAGGGCTGCGTGGTGAACTTGGGGTGGTGGATTACAGCTGTCCTAACTAACTAAATCACTGTTTGGCCATTAATTGAAATCGAAGGTGCCCCTCATCTTCTAGGATTAGGTTCGCTGGCTTGGCAATCATAACACTGAATTTCCACTTCTCTGTACGTCTGCCATTATCATTCTGCTAACGCTTGGATGTTAGAGCTGCAAGGGGATTCTCTAATGAGCTAGTCAGAGACTCACAAAATAGACTGTAATCTGGCTCCTCTCTTTACAGTGATTAACAACGGTTTACTGAGAAACTAATCCACCTTTTCAGGTATACAGATGTATTGCTGATCTCACCTACTAAAATACATTTTAGCCTACTGAAGGATAAATGTAACTGATGAGAATTAATTCCTATTTGATGAGAGACACGTGTATTTCTCTGAGAGAGGCAGTTATTCTTGTCCTCGGTGGATGCAAGCCTCTATATGCCACAAAAGTCTGTGGATGTAGTCTAAAGCTGACATTTTACTGTTCTTCTGGAAGTACTTGTACTTTGAAAGCTAAAGATGATCATTTTAGTGAGAAAATTAACATGAAGGTATGAGGAAACTACGTTCATTTCAAATTTGCTATTCTTTTTCACTGGTTAAAGTCAATACCCGCTTTCATGTTTCTTGTTTCAAGTTGGCCTAAAGGAGGATCTGAAAACCTTTTGGACTGATGTAGTTCAACAAACTTTTGTTCCTGTCATTGTCTGCTGTGTTACCTGTTTGGAAACTTTGGTGTCAGCCAGCCTCCTAGTGTGAGAGGTGGTCACATCACAAAATCTACCCTGATACCTCCAGCCTGAGTGGGTGGGATGAGTGTAAGGATCAAACTTTTCCCTCGTGTCTCCGAACTGTCTCCTGGAAACTGAATGGGAACAAATTGGCTGGGGTTCCCTGGGGACAGTTGGACCATGTGGCTCATGCCCTGTCAGTGTAAATAAGGCTAAATTGTCTGATGGGGACAGTCTGACAGTTTTCTCACGCTCTGAATTCCATGGCGTGTGGGGATTTTAGGGCTTTGGGGTTTTGTTTTGTTGTTTTGTTTTGTTTCGGTTTACTTTTTTTTTTTTTCCTTGACTGATAGTAATTTTAGACCAAGAAATTGTTTGATGTTATAAGAGGTACTTCTGGGGTTTTTTTCATCTTGCTCCCCTGTTACTACATAGTCTTCATTTGAACATCTGGATTTAATACTGTCTGTTACTGCATTGTAAGCAATGCCTATGAAAATAGGTTCAGCACAGCATGCTCCATCTTATTAGAGCTTTGCAGATAAATAAATTAAGTTGTCCTTCCTCTTCCAAAAAAAAAGAAAAAAACCCAGAAAGCAATCTGACAGCACATGGCTGAAGTAAATTCATTACAGAATAAACAAAAATACTGGTAAAACACACACAGGCAAATGCTTGATATAGATAGCAAAAGTGGGAACAGCATTCATAAAAAGGTTAAAATTACTTGTTGTAATAAAAAAGAAAAAAGTAATCAAGGGGTGGATTTAGCAAGAAAATCCAAACTGTGGTGACCAAGACAATTTAGGAACTGGGGGAAAAGGAAGATCAAGTGGATGCTGTTTCTGTGACATCCTGAAGTAATTCCTCTTTTTTAAGGTTCATGGTATTCAGATGCCAGCTTCTGAATTATAGCTGCAGTGATGTACGAAATGTTTTCTAGCAAATCCTCTTGTGAGCAGAAATACCAGTGTCGTCAAAAAAAATTGTGTGTAAATATGACTCAAAAATGATTTCTCAGAGATGTGATTTATTTTTCATATTTTTCAAGATACATTCCATTTCAAATAAAGAGGTATCTATTGAAAGAGCTCTCAATATGTTGGAAGAATGGTTGTTTGGTGGGCTATTTGTGATGATTAAAGCCTGGTATAAGCTTTTCCAATGTCTTAAGCTCAGTCTAAGAGCCTAAGAGGAACACTTTGAACCTGGGTAGGTACTCTCTGAAGACCCATTCAGATGCTCCAATTAATCTTTATATATATAGCACCATGATGAGATTCAGAGTCCTCAGTTTTGCTTCTTGCAGTATGTGATGTGTGAGCACCCACACCAAGTGTAGCTGATTTCTGCAACACTCAGGTTCACAGTTCATGTACAGCAGGTCTTTGGGGCACAGAATTCAGGCTCATCACTGTCACCTGTAAATGCCTTGCTCTGTGTGACATTAGGAGGCCTTAAATGTGCCTTGTTTCTCTTTTTCTCAGATCTTAAGCACTATGATTGAATTGCAAGTAACCTGAAATTAATCCAGAAAAAAACCACTTCCACCATCTGGCATAAACTCTGACCTGTTCTTTTCTAGCTTCTTGGGAAAAGAAATTAGGTGTAACAAGAAACATGTGCTGCTCTGGGCTCTCTGTAGTGCTGCAGCTGCTCAGATGTCTTGGGCTCCCTTGATATGTATTTGTATGGTAGCAGATCCTCATTTCCAAGCATCTGCTGAAGGTGTATTACTTTCAGGGACACAGGGTGCATTGACCTAGACGTGTTGGTGCTGTTTGCCTTCACTGGGGAGATGTCAGTAACCTCTTCCATAAGAAGGCTTTTATTGTAAAAAGTACAAGTTCTCTTTTCAATAGCAAACACCCTAAAATATAGGCATTTGAACTTAATATTGATATGCAAATTATAGCTTCAAGATCTGGCCTCTCACAAGTGCTGGTGCTCAGCAGCTTTGAAAAGTCAGTTAAGCATCTCTAAATTTATTATCTATTCAAGGACCCACTGCTCCTTACAGCTGTTGGAGGTATCCCTTATAAGCTTTTAATAGCAGTGGTAAGTGTCTTTGTAAGGACATAAATATAGAACAAGAGTTTTATAATTGGTGGTTGTTTCTGCTCCAGCACCAATGGTGATATCTTCACAAAGGTACATCAATACATGCTTCTCTGCTTTAACTTTTGATTAAGAGGATGTGAAATAAGACTGCTTATGTATTTGTGGTCCGTATGAAATGGTCCTAGAAAATAGGTCATTATTTTCCTAACAGGGGATGTTGTCTTATTAGTATTTTCTCTTAAGTTTTTTCTCATCTGAAGTACAATGTGGGGTAGGTACAGAGAGATAATCTGGATCTGATTCAAAGTTCATTGAAATCAACCAGAATTTTTCCAGACTGGGACAGATGTTG